TTTAGTACAAATATTTGTTCTAAGATTACCATGACTGATATTTTTATTGCATAAATGAGGTGCCCAATAAGCTTACTGCTGTCCCAGATAGAGTGCCTAATTTTTTATAAACAATGTCTGTACCCTTGTAATGCCGTTATTTATATTGTTTAATATATCTCTGGAAACCTCTATGTTTCCGTCTTCATGGAAAGAAAGTTATGTTGCTCCTATATTTAAAAAAGGTCAGAAAGACATTAAAAATTATAGTAGCATTTGTATACAATCTGCAATTACTAAGCATTTCAACTGTCTTATAGCAAAGCAACTGTCTTGGTTGTGTAAAGGCTTAATATCTCAATCATAATCATCAACAATCACAATACACAGATTTTTCCAAAGCATTTGATTGTGTAGATCATCAAATACTTGTGGGCAAATTAATTAAGGTAGGCTCTTATATCAAGTTTGTTGAATGGATTAAAATCTCTACATCTGGTAAAAGTCAAAGAGTCAAGATAGGTTGACATCTGTCTGAAATGTCAGTAACATCTGATCTAATTAACGATATCACTTCATGTTTCCTAAATAGTAATGTCCATTATTAGCAGATGACTTGAAAATTTGGAACATTATAGATAGCCTAAAAGACCAGACCTGTTGCAATATAGCTTAAGACTGACTACAAAAATGGTGCAATCAGAACAAACTCCACTGAATTGTTTCTTCTATTTGGGATTTGGGGATAAGGCAATAAAGGCATCTAAACTTCTCGTTTTTGTTACTAGGAAATGTATTTCACCATTGATTAAACAAGATTAGTGTATTGTTGCTTAGTTAAAACTATTTTGGAATACTATCCAGTTATTTGGTCACCCTATTTTCAGAGCTATATTGATACATTAGAAAATGTCCAGTATAAATTTTTGAGATATTGCTTACCATGTTCACAATACTATTGAAAATCATGATTACATATTCCCCTATCTAACAACAAAATAACAATTATCTTTACCTTCACTTAAGAACCTCTGTGTCATGTCAGAAGCTATATTTATAAATAAGATCATAAGTACATAGATTTATCCAAACCTGTTAAGCCAGATTAACTTTAATGTTCCCCATCCAGATCTATGTTACCACCATGTTTTTAATATTCCTTTCCACAGAACAATCTACAGTATTCACAACCCATTGGATAGATACATTAAATGATCTCGATTTTGATACCTTTAACTGGGTGAAAAGATCTCTTGCTTTGTGATAATATGTATATTAGTATTGTTTAATTTTTTTCTTGTTATATTTTGTTTATGTTTTTTAGTATGTACAATTTTAGTCTCATTTATTAAACTTTTTGATATTGAATTTATATTTTAAGTAATTTCAAGTTTTGAATCCTAACTGTTAATGGGGTTATCCCATGTATTAAACAAATAAATAAAATAGATCTTGTTTTAATATTTAGTCCACTATATCTCTTTTTTTTTTTTGATTTTTCACAAATTAATATACAGGGAAAAAAATATGAACACACTAAAGAATCTATTTTTGTCCAGTAGAATGACAAGAAATAGAAAATACAGCCTTGTTTATGACTCAGATGGTATTAAACATACCACTGTTATTTACATACCATTTTCACAAAATCAACTGGTTTGATTTAACAAGTTTTGAATTAAATTCGTGATATGTAACTAGAATGTTATATTTTTTATCCTTTTTATAGATCTTTAGTAGCATTTCAATATGAAAAAATTATATTTGTATTTGGTGTTTTTGTTTTACAAAAAACTTTAATCTACTTCTTCTTCTTAACGTGCCCTATCAAGTCCCCTTGACGTTGGCGATTAACATGGCGAAACTGCCTCTGTCTCGAGCTATTCTAAAGAGTTGCTCAGCTCTCTTTATTCCTGTCCACTCCCTGATATTCTTCAACCAAGAGACCTGCTTTCTACCCATTCCTCTGCGTCCTTCTATTTTACCCATCATAATGAGTTGGAGAATATTATATTGGTCTCCCCTTACTACGTGTCCAAAATAAGCCATCTTTCTACATTTGATGTTATCAAGCAGCTCGCGAGCAGCATTTGCTCTCTCAAGGACTGCCAAATTTGTCAGCATAGCCGTCCATGGAATTTTTAGTACACATCTGTGCAGCCACATTTCAAAGTCCTCCAGACGATTAATGGTGGATATTTTTAATGTCCATGCTTCGACACCATATAAGAGGACTGACCAAATGTAGCATTTAACCATGCGCTTTCGAAGTTAAAGTTGCAAGTTATTATTACAGAAGAATGATCTCATTTTTTAAAATGTCGTGCGGGCTATCTCGATTCTACATTTTATCTCTTGATCTGGATCTAGTTGTTCAGTAATTTACACTATAAGTAAATGTTCACACAATACAAATAATCATGTTAATTCTTAGATAGCTACAACTGAAGGGTTAAACCAAGAGTCTCAAATTATATCAACAAATATTAAACTAACCTTTCTGTTTCTTTTATATATTGTAATCAAGTAATACTAAATCTAATACAGTCTAACCTACTCTATTTGATCTACAACTAACCTAATCTTACTTAACACTTAAACTAACACTTAAAAAATAATTAATTAACACTTAAATACTTTATTATGTTATTATTTAAAACATTTGTTAACGGAAAAATTTTGTTTGATATGTTCAATTTAATTATTTGAATCTGACTGTTATGGAACTGTTACCATTAAAGAAACAATGCCATTACTTGATAAGAACATACAAATAAAAAAATGGAGAAATAGTCTACCATAATGTAAAATCTACTTAAAAAATACTAAAATAAAAAACTAAATTACTAAAAAATGGAAATATTTTAAATACAGATCATTATTTCTAGATTTTTAGTTAAGCCTTGTTCTCATAAGTGCTTTATCAACTTTTGATCAACCATTAAAAAGCTTTAAAATTATGTTCAGTCAAGTTTACAATTCAATGGGAATTACACTACTACAATTACTAATAGAGGTTTTGGGTTACTACGATTTGAAACTAGGCACACAAGAGTTGGCAACATTTTAAAAGTTTAGAAAGAATAATTAAATCATATAATGCCTTGTGTTCACACCCATATATGTTTTTATTAACATTACTTTTTTACTGTGGCAACATCGCTGTATCGCTGTACAAGAACATGCCAGCTTTGACTCAAAAGTGGAGCGAACACAAAATTTAAGCGAGATAATATGCCTGCTGTCAAAAATTCATGTATTTATTGCGTTTGGATTCAATAAAGTCCTTCTTTCACACAGTATTTGATTATTTTAACCAGCAGCACATATTGTAGTGCAAATCAAGTAACATTCACCTTGATTGAGCTTGAGTATGCTTCTGTGGCAGAAATGTACTTATAGTAAATTATTATAATCAAAGTACTTATGTCAGAAAACATAATGCTATCTATACTTAGTGTAACTTTGTAACTACTGAGGTAGACTGTTCTCATAAACAATATAATGAAACTAATGTAATTTACTTTTAAGAAATAATAGTAAAAATATTTTTAACACTATAGTTGAAGAGATTAGGCTACCTTTATATCTGGTTATATAGCTTTATTTTACTACAACTTCTCTTTTATTTATAATTGTCTTCTTCAATATATCAATAATAAAATTGTGTGATAAATCCTATATGTAATTACATTTAATTTTGTAAATTGTTTGTTTGGCAAAAATATATAAAACGTGCCGGTTAAGTTAGCTACAAATAAACCGTCAAAATTGCATTTGAGGTATTGCCATGTCCTTATTATGTATATATTTTATGTGTCAGATATGCTTTGAAACAGCACATTTTTATTATATTATTTTATAGAATCTGGTATTTTTAATTTTTCTTTATTTTTATATAAAACACAACCAAATGATTATTTGTTTCTTTTGATATTAGTTGCAGTTAGTTATTAGAAAAAAAATTATAATTGGTCATTGGTAGATTAGCGGATAAACTTGGCAATACTGTCAAAACTTTGACCATTTTATTAATGTATTAGTTAGGTACTGAAACTTGTTCAGATCGTCACTAGATTTAAATTGTGTGAATTTGTGTGTTCGGTAAACAAAATTTCAATTTAAAGTAACGCATAAAATTAATTAGCATTATATTGTATGTTCTTTCGTAAAACTTATTAAAACGACATGAGAACACTGTCAAATACAAAACTTTCCTACATTTGTAGCTAACTTCACTGGCACTTTCTATATACTTTTGCCTTTTGGAATGAATAAAAAATAGATAATCATCATCTAAATATCATTCGGATTAAGGAACCTACAGGTTGGTGCCTTCCATTTTAACTACAAAAATTAGAAATGAAGTAGAACCGATATATTTAGTTAACATATTACAAGTGTGTAACAACACTGATAGAAGGTCTTATCAAGATAGAATAGTTTAACACTCTCACCACCAAGTGTCACATTAATGTGCCCTCTGTATTGACAAACATGTAACATTAATATACACTTACAGTGTTTCACATTAACAAAATAATATAGTTTTGGCACACAACGAAAAAATTTAAAATATCAATGGCGGCAAGAGTGTTAAGATACCATCAAAATTTTTTTTGCCAGATTAATATATCTCCACAAAAACTCATGTATATATCATTGAAACGAGAGTCATAGTATTGTATTGTTTACATTCATGCAAAAAATACCTATATTATAGATTGTATATTGGATTTTTTAGGATAAGTGTATATAAATTATTGAATAAGTTCATACAACAAAATATGTTGAGATAAGCAACATTTTTATAAGTTGCAAGTAGTTTATAAACTGCGTACCTACAACTAATTAAATATTTGTCCGTTGTCACTTTACGAAAAGTTGATATGTTTAAGTACTTGTGTTGTGAAAGATGCAAACAAATCCCAAATTATAAATATCCGTAAGTAATCCAGGTAGGACAACATAATGTTTATGAGGCAGTTAATATGTTATACATGTAATGTCAGATTAGTTACCTTGATGAACAGCTACAGTGCAAGATTGTCCATCGCAGTACACAAGGGGATTCTCAGACCAGCCTCTATCGTCAGAACAAACACAACAGCCTCCTACCATTTCCCTCATAATGCAGAAAAACAGTATTTGCTAAACTAGCGATTCCACAATCCCACCCAACAGAGCCAGAGCAACAGGTTCACATTCATCTCTACGTTTTCTTTGGTTCCCGTACTGCAAAAATTACCCTGAAACAAGAAAAATGTTTATTTTGTATAGTACAACAAATAAAAAATACTAATGTAAATTGGAACAAGGTTATTACAAGCATAAACATTTGAACATTATATAATTGCATTATACACAGTTATAAATACGAGCGAAGGTAGATTCGTTAAAAAAATAAGTTGAACTTTAAGTCATCTTTTTATTTAAAACACATTTTCTAAGAATAAACAATATCTATTTACGTTTATTGTTTCGTTTCTGGAACACCATGCCTCCCACGATCTTACCTAATTTCTTGTTTTAATATAAACAGCCATGATCACATGTACTATTCCACTCAGGAAAGTTATAATTTTGGTGTAGTCTCATAAACATTTACTTATATTTGTAGTGTGCAGTAAAATACAAAATAAAACATTCAATTAAATAGTCACCATTTTGTTTTTTCTGATTTGCACGAAAAACAAAAGCGCTGAAAGCGGCCTCCCACAGAGGATGCGCAAACGATATTGGAACTGTATAATAATTCAATACGGCGTTTCGGCTATTCTGAGAAATCTGTAAAGTAGGTAACCCACAATACGTATTATAATGATCAAGCATAAAATTATAACAAGTACTTTTAGTCGGTATTGTACATTTACGCAGACGATTTCACGACTTTGGCCACTTAAAACCCTATGCTTTACTAGCTATACTTATATACTACTTAAGTTCCATAATTAAAATTCTGCCACGGGTTGTACTGGTATTGGAATAAATGATTTTTACTTTGCCAGCTAGCTTGACAAACCCGCCACATTGAAAGACAAAGTGAAATTTGCCAGTCTGTATATAGGGAGCTCTGTATATACGGATTCTTGTTTCTTCTTTCTACTATAGGCATTTGTAGGAACAAAATTCCCCAAAAAGAAGGTTTAGAACCCCAGCTCAAAACCTTTTTGGACGAAAGGAAACTTATCTATGAGATTTCCCTAGATTCTAAATATGCCAGTTTGGAATAATTACCAGAAATAACTCCCAATATAACCAGGAGGTATTATAGTTTATGTTTGAGAAGTAAAAGGTATTCGAAATACCTAAACGAATTTTCAAAAGTTACGTTCGAATTTTGCGTAGAGTAGAATGCAAATAAAATACATAATATTTTTGACACTCGTAAACACACTTCAGTTTTCTTACATCAAAATCAAACCTATATTTACAAAGTTTTAAAACCCAAGGAGTTTAAAAGAATAGTTATAAGAACATAAGAATTATAAGAAAATCTATAGATTTCAAATTCATTAGCGTTTTTCCTTACACCAAGAATCATCTACGTACCAAATTACGAGACTCTATGACTTATATCGTTTGAGAGTTATCACACAGACGGACGGATAGATAAAACCACGATTTCAATAAAGACCTGTTGGGTTGTTAATAATTACAAAGTAAAATAAATAATAATAGGTAATCCCTCCATCAAATCTAAATGATCCATTTTATAGGTCTTCTTTAATTTTTATTAAAGTTCACTTCCCACCATTCTATTGAGTCCGTTAAACTTTGTGTGCATTATCTCCTCTGTTTTATAATTTATTTTTAAGTGATAATATTTTACCTTAGAGAAAATGATCAGTAACCAATGACGTATAATATATAGACTACGCAGTCCCCTATTCTCGCTATAGAATCGAGTGTCCGAAAGATCTCGGCTGAAGGTTGAAGGTATGTTTATTACAACAGCGGCGTGCTCATTTATAAGTTAATGACAATAATTATTTTTTTAATTAAAATTAAATATTTATGATTTCTTTTTGTTCCCGTCTATAAGAGAAATAATTATTTTGATAAAATAGTATGGCATTTTACTAAAATAGTAAGTAAATAACTATCAACAATTTAAAATAAAATTTGCTTGTCACACAAAATGGAGTACGTCCATGATGTTTTCAAACACAAGATCAACTTCGTGATGCTTCGTAAGAAATCATGAACTTCGTGCATCTTCGTATCACAACAATAAACAATAACAAAGGTATTCATGTTTTGGACACTTTTTAAAGCGTTCACCGAGTCTATATATTATACGTCATTGTCAGTAACTTCCTTTTATTTTGACATAAAACCAGCACCATCTATTAAACTAATTTATAACCAAACTTTCATATGACAGATTTCTTAAAGATACGATATTTTCACTGAGATTCAAAGACCATTTACTCCATTAGATTACCACTGCCCATAGATTAAATATATATATGCCACTGCCTACGTGACCATAGATATATATGCTACGTGACAAACTGTGGCTACACTTTAGATCTATTATTATAGCTCGAATATACGTGTACTTACTATAAAAAAATAACAACATGTACACATAATATGCCTAACATATAATATATTATAATAAAATCAATACCTAGGTATATGAAGATCAATAATTCTGCCTTACTTTTTAAAATATTTTTACAAACTTAATTATAAAATGCTTACAAAAACATTTATATTTCGTCCCATTGGCATTTTATTATAATATTAAGTACAGTTCAACTTATCACTCAATTCTTAATCCTACTCAAGACGGTTTTCTTTTGTTTTTTTACCGTCACTAGATCGTTTTCCAGCACAAGAAAACGGTTTACGTAGACAATACACAATTGTACAAAATCTAGCAGAAATAAATACTTCACAGAAGCAACACAGAAAGAAATCATACAGCTATATGGGAGGATCACCTTGAAAAAATATCTGTATGTCAAATATGAGCCCGCCAGATGCAATTAACTTTGTATTTAGCGTATAAGTCGAACTGAGTTATTTGCAAAAAAAACCTTAGATTTAATCAATGGCACTTTTTTATGATAGATAAATGCTTTATTAGGTAAAATATTATGATTTATTTAAATTATTTAACTTTTTCGATTTGATTTTGAATTTTTTGAGAGTATCATGTACAACAGGGGGTTCAAAGGAGTAGTGAGGCGCAATACAAGATGTTGCTTCCAGATAACACTTCTAGCTTCTCCTACTCAATTCCTATCCTCACCTCCAAGAAGTGTGATCTTGATCATACGGGTGAACCCCGGTAAACCTGAGCAACCCTATTGGAGATTGAGTAACCAACCCCAATGGAAGGTAGGGTCAGGGCGGACGAGGAAGAGAGAAAGCATATCTTGTTCAGAAGCTATAGCCAGCAGCCCTGGCACTGGACTCGGGTGCAATAGGCCGATAACCTTTTCACCTTAAACTCGGCTATCACGAATGCTACGAACATTGAACTAACCGGCCGGATCAACGGACAACGACCAAAGCTACGGAATAAGGACTTAATGATGGATTTGCGACTGGGAACCTGGAATGTCCAAACTATGCTACAGGCAGGCAAAATGCAGTATTGCACAGGAACTATTGAAGTACGAAGTAGACATAGCAGCTCTCCAAGAAATCAGATTTAAGGGGCATGGTTGCATAAATAAAAAAGAATATAGTATGTACTACTGTGGAGCAGAAAGACAAGGAGACTTTGGAGTGGGTTTTATGGTAAACTATAAATGTCACAGGTCAGTATTGGGTTTCACTCCAGTTAATGAAAGAATATGCAAAATACGTCTAAGGGAAAAATTTCATAATATTACAATTATCAATATCCATGCTCCAAGAAGCAGCAGATGAACTAGTAACCGATAAATTCTATGACCAACTACAAGTAGAATGTGAAAAAAACACACAAGAGAGATGCAGTTATAGTCCTGGGTGATATGAATGCGAAGCTGGGAAAAGAGCCAATATATACAGAATCCTTTGCTAAGCATAGTTTACATGATATTACCAGCAACAACGGTATAAGAGTGGCACACTTGGCAATGAAATACAAACTAAGAGTTATTAGTATGTGTTTCCCTCATAAAAATATTCATAAAGGAACCTGGATGATACCTGGTACTAATAAATTTAATCAAATTGATCACATGTGACGTTCCTCAAACAATGTAAGCGATCGGCCAATTATTGTACTTACACAGTTTTGCAACTGGTATAGTCACAAATACAGAGTTTTGCATCTAACTCAAGATTTCTAATGCCTATTTCTTAGCAAATACCTGACTTCGCAGCTGAATCTCTACATCAGTAGATATCTATAACACGTGACAAATAACTGTCAGCTAAAACTCAATTTTTGCATCTAGTGGACTTCTATGAAAGAATAGAAGCTATCGGAAAAGAAAACGAATACAGTTGAAGTTGTAAAAAGACGGTTTATAGACAGAAGTAGTAACAGATAGACAAACAAAAATATACTTGGACGTAAGAAAAAAGTAAAAAAACGAAGTGTGGTTCAATGAGAAAAGTAGAGATCTAGCAAAAAAAAATCTGCAGCAAGGCAGATAATGTTATCTATTCATACTGAAGCCAAAACAAACAGGACTGCAGAGAATAACGAAGATAGTTAAATTGGGATACATACTAATATATAAGTTAAGTTGGGAAATGTTGATACAAGATTATTTTCGTAAATATATTCAAGAATATCACTAGGACTTTTTTCTGTGGAAAAAAAATGGTTGAATAGCTTTAATTTCTTCATATAAATTGGTTGCTCTAATGTCAGTCTCTGAGCTGTTTATGTCTGTAAGGTCTTGATTCACTTTCTCACAATTGGTTTTAAGTTCATCATCGTTTTTAACTTTGGTTATGCGATATATTACACTAAAAATGTCTGTGTGCTGTTGAAGTAATTGGAACCGTTCTTCAATAAAAATTTATTTTAAATGACAATTGCGGAGATAATAAAGGTTCATCAGCTCCTTCATACTCAAAATGCACTTTTCTTATTCTAATTCCTTCGGTAGAGGAGCTAGGGAAATCTTCTATGTTAGCTTTTGTAGATATCTCTTTGGATTCGGTTACAAAATTTTCAAAATATTCATCAGAACGTTTGGTTATGAAATATTTTTTTAAATTATCTAGTGCATCAAGTGAAGATTTTATGTCAAATTTTGAACTTTGAAGAATTTTGCTAGCCACGTTTATTTTACTTAAAATATCTTGCCACACTACAACAGAATACATGAATTTGAATTTCCAAATTTTATTTTTAAGGGATTTTGCTAAAGTCCTAGTATTCATAGCCCTTGTGTTATCATTTTGCAATTCTTCTAACGCATCATATATTTCACTAATCTGGGTTTTTAATGGTGCGATTGCATCTATTCGTGTCCGACAATGCTTTTAATGTCAACTTTGGAAGGTGCTTTAATAAAATGTTCCATCTAATATTGGAAGAAAAATAGATATACTTAGTTCCTGTATAGTATTAAAAAATTCCACTGACTCAAAACTTATTTCTACTGCTTCATTCACCACCAGATTTAAACTATGCGCAGAATAGGAAATTATCACTTAAGAACGAAGCCGGGCGAATTTAACAAAATAAATCCAAAAACACTTCAAATAAGTTGCCCAAATGTTTCTCCAAATAATATGTAGTCGTAACGCTTATACGAATAAAATTGCTCTGATCTCGACGTTACTTCGAAATACAGCACCTACTGTGCAAAAGAAACGGATACAGTACTATATTTTACAAACTCGTTTATCAAAAGCGTGTCTAAATTCATCGAATTCTCAACTAAGACTGAACATAGATGTCATAAAAGAAGGCATAATAACCCATCTATAAACATAACCATAGGAACAATATTATAACAGAAACTTTACATAAACTTGCCTAAATTCTTGTAAAGTATCTACGTGTGAAATCCCAAATAACTGAAGTCCGAAAGCCGCCAGCCGCTTTGAATTAAAAATGATTCCCAAAACTTCTTTATGACTGTACCTGCAAAAGGGCGGCAGTTCATATTCCTTAAAATGTCTATTTAGGTATTGCATGCGTATTGTACAAAAATAATGCTTATTTATTATCAATGTTTAGATGTTGGTGGCCGTGATCTTAAAACTGTGATAAAAGCTAATATATCTTGAAGACTTTGGCCAGTATGAACATTGTGCAGATGAGTAGCAATACGTCTCTGAAGTATATCGCATACATGCTTCATGAAAATTCTGTTAGAATATTTTAGAATAATTGGGTAAAAACCCATCATCCTAATTTTCATATATTAATTATGTCAAATTTCTTTAACTTTCAAAGAATATTACCCTGTATAAAATCAAAAATTATACTAGTAAAAAAATTTATATAAACTTTTATTCTTTATTAATAAAAAATAATAAAACAATATATCACGAAATTAAATCTCTGGGAATGCACTTCCAATCAAATTCTTTCCTCGGTATCTGAATGTGTAAGTCCGTATAATAAAACGATTTCCATTCAACTTTAGAGGACATACTCTGTCAGGTCTCAGGATAAAACAGGTCGAATATAAAGCCATTTCGAATTCAGGGCTGGTACCAATAAACATGGAGTTTACTGGTTTATCTACACCATTGAGAGTAAAATGGAATTTAACTATATGTCCTTTCTGCAAAAAATACAAGTTTTGGATACATTCTTTTATCTATATTATATATTATTTATACTATTTTAAACGAATGAATTGAAATGACAAGTAATATAAAAGTGTGTAGATCATTTAATTCCTAGCCACATACTTTTCGATTACAATGCCATCTTCAGAGCTATGGTCAAAATTTTAAAAATACCACTACAACAGAGGTATCTCATCGTACAACAAATACTTCATTAAATTTTAAAAAGTTTTCAAAATGTCATTAAAAAGTCAGCACAAATAAACATATTCAAAGGTTTCGTTATTATATGGATGCAAGCACCCATCCATCTGGACATACTCTGGGGAAATAAGCAAAAAATATTCTGTTCGGGACTGTGACAAATCCAGGTATCTAATTTTTTTTTATTTATAGACCTTTATAAAGAAAACCTATACGTTTTCTATAAAGATTTCGACGTCTTATTTTAATTATTAACCTTTCAGTAAACAGTTTAACTTTTTTGTATTAGTAGTATTGTATCACAGTCTACTACACCGGTCATAAAAATTGTCCTCTGGGTGCATCACCTAGGAAGGAAATAGATAATATCACACATTTCATAAAGGTACTTACGCCGCCCAAATCGATTTTCTTCATATAACCCAAATAATTAGCATGATTCTTGTTCTCTTCTTCATTGAAATACACCCAGTTATGTAATCCAGAGACTTGGTTGTTTTTTATCTCTGCCAAAAAGACATGTTCAAATGCGCTTGAACCTATCTTTCCTCCTTGCCTTGAATACATACTAAACCAGATAAGATTCAAGAGGTCCTTAAATTCTTGGACATCTCTTCCTATTTTTCCTGAAAATTGAAAATAACTGAAAATATTCACTCTCTTCTTGCACTAAGGTGCTGATATAATATAAAAACTAATGTATTGAATTATCTAACCTTTACTCATGAGAAAATTCCTTGTATATTGCATCACAGGAGTTTGAACTATGTCATTCAACAGATCTCTCTCTTCATTTTTCTCTTGTTGTGTAGAAACTTCATTTTTGTTTGCTTCCAAAATGTAGTTATCATATAAAGGTAAAAGTTTTGAGACTGTAGACAATGAATATGCTGCGGGACTTACAGACAAAAGCCTAAAAATTCACATTTTTACATAAATTTAAATAAAGTTTTGATTTATTAAATTGGGAACCTGAGGATAAAAAGTCAGTAAAAACTTAGTCTTATCATAATGGCTAGTAGAGCTTTATTAACTGTTGTTATGATTTGGTTATTGATTATGAAATAACACACACTACCTATTAATTCTCAAATTATTCCACCCTCAGAAGGTGTAGAGTACTCTTATCATTGACTGTCTCCAGTGAAAGATTTTTTAAAACTAAACTCAAAAAATGTTCCAATATTAGATATACCGACGATACCTTAGTGCTTGCGGAGAAGACCTTCAAAATCTAATGAACAAAACAAAACAGACTTGTGATCAGTATGGATTAAAACTCAATGTTAAGAAAACTAAATATATGATAGTTAGCAAACAAAATTATGTACAGTATGATGGTATAAAAGTTGGAGATGCCACACTGGACAGAGTAGAGAAACTCATGTATCTCGGCAGTAATATCAATGAGAGCTGGGATAAAAACCGCAGAAATTAAAAGCTGAATATAACAAGCCCGAGCTGCCTTTGTAAAAATGAGAAATGTACTTTGCAGTCACGATCTTAGCATTGACCTTAGAGTTTGAATGACATCTTGCTACTTTCTTGTCCTGCTGTATGGAGTGGAAGTGTGGACTCTTAACTGAGGCTATCCTTAAACGCTTGACAGCCTTTGAGATGTGGGTATACAGACAACTACTGAAAACAAGCTGGGTCGACAAAGTTAGAAATGAGGAGGTCCTTAGATGTCTGAACCAAACAACACAACAGGTCAATATAATAAAGAAACGCAAGCTGGAATACTTAGGTCACATTATGAGACACCCTGAAAAATATGATCTTTTACATCTGATCATTCAGGGAAAGATCCAAGGTAATCGTGGTCCTGATAGAAGAAGAACATCATGGCTGAAAAATCTAAGGCAATGGTATGGAAAATCAACTACAACGTTATTTAGAGCTGCTGTCACTAAAGTCATGATAGAGAATATGGTAGCCAACATGATATCCAACAGGTCATGGAACTAGAAGAACTTATTAATTAATTCAGTGCTAATACCTATACAGGTAAACCATTCATTTAGTGTGAATTTTTGAATAAATAGACTTTTAATTTCCAGGTACTCATATTAGGGTAAATTTAAACAATTTGGTATTTCTATAACTACACAATTATAGTTTTATAGATAACATACACAGAATTAACAAAAGAGAGAATTTAGAAATTACTTACTGCAAAGGAGCTTCATCTCTAGTTGATCTTGAAGTGGTAAGGCCTTGCCAATTAATAGTAATGTACTGAGCAGCATTATTAATAGTATCTTTATTTAACAGATCTTCTGAGAATTGACGCAATTCATTATCATCAACTTCTATATTAGAACTAGGACTAGATCCTTGGTTAGTTCGTCTAGCATCTTCTGAACCCGTTAGGAAAGACCCTGAAGAAACAACAGTATTTACTCCAGTAGGTCTCACATAACTACCCCTCTGATTATATGTATTTTGGTTTGCTCTATTTACACTACTATCAAACCTAGGATAATTCACATTTTGTTCCCTTGCACTGTTATATCTTTGTTGGTTATATGTATTAGAATTTTGTGAAACTGGTCTAAAATTTTGAACTGGTACATTATTGTTTTGGTTACTTAACTGAGAGTTACTTGGTGAAGTATTTCTCACCCAATTTGGCCCATTATTTGGACGAACCCACTGGGGTACCCTAGTACTTTGCAAATTGTTCTGTTGGTTTCTCTGACCACCCAATGCTGGCCATGGTGTGACAAAATTTTTGTTCTGAGTATTATAATTATAACTTGAATTGTTCAAATTCTGCCAAGGATTTTGCTTGATATTTCTATTTGAGTTATCAGCACCTGTGTAATATGCGATAAATATTTAGAAAGATATTATTGATGATTGGTTATTCAAGGTGAATGTTATATATTGTGTCATATGATAAAAATATATATTATATTAAAAATATGAACATATTATACTTTTTGGATATGTTGGAATTTCCACTAGAGTAGGCCATATAGAAAAGATTATAAGAATTATAAATAATGAGATTATGGTTCAAGAGAAATAGCTATATTGCTAAAGAATTCTTTTAGCATTAAACTGTGGCTATGATAAGAGCATGCCAGACAACTAGAAAGATATTCAGAGTCACCTTGAAAAAAAAAGGGTAGACCATATAGATTAAAAAAAAAAGTAACAATCTTAGCTTTACCAGAGAACTACGAACTAGTTCTCTGGCTTTACATTCAATAATGTTCATTAATGATAAAGTAAGAATGTATGTATATGAGAATATGACTTTTCTTCTAATGTAATGTCTTGTAAACTATAATGTTCTTATAATTGGATAAATCGCTAACTGTTTATATCACGTTTATATATTTAACAATGAGTAATAAAATTACATCAATTTAACTTACATAAAGCATTTGCTATAAATATTGTAAAAATAAATATTACTGTTGCCCTTGTAGACATCTTAGATTGTCACAAAGGTTATTCTTATGTTTAAAAATTAGAAAGATCGTGTCATCTTTTAATTTTGCAATTTAGAAAATTATCAAAATCAAAACAAATCCCTCTCCCCTCTTTTGTATAAAACGTTAAAAAACGTTAGACAAGGACGGTATAAATCAAATGCCTGTGCTTAGACAAAGAAAGAGAGAAATATTGTTGTCCCGTTAAGGTTTTTCCCAGAATTAAAAAATTGTTTCTGGCACTCCAGGAATATAGGATTAATGGATTATCAAAGTCTTATTGGCAACTAGTTTTCTTTTTTTATATATTGTAATATACTATTTTATAAAAAAATATTCCCTTTTCAAAGTAGGTATAATAAACTGTCATAACGTATTTTGTGTTGTCTATGTCTAAGGTTGAGATGGTGTGGTGTATTCTGTGGTCTAATGTGATGAATATTTGAACATAAAATCAAATAATATAGACGCATGTATATTTATATTTACGTCTATATTCTTTGATAATATTCCCAGATAATTCTAAATAAAAAATATTTTTATCATGTTTCCTAGTAAACTCTTTGAAGTTTACTAGGGCATTTGATAATGCTAATATGGGTTAAAGTAGATAAAAATAGCCGTTACTTAAAGATATATAAACTAGAAGACATTCAACGATAATCATGATTATTTATACCTATTCTGTTAACTTTTGCACAAAAAAATAAAGAGATGAGTATTTCAGAGGTATAGAAATTCATAGAAATAAAACAACGACATTTCTTAAAAAATAACAAAAGAGGTATGTACGCTTCATCTAATTTATATAACGATGCACGTCATCGGCGTCATAGCCTGTGACGTCATATAATACCAACACGAAATATTTAGGGTTTTAGGTGTGTTCTTTTTAGAATCACTTTACCGAGTACACTGGCATTACAGCCACTAGGCATATTTTGTTATATACGCGTAGAAATAATATTTAAAAATTTCTATTAATGTTAACTTAAAGAAATACACAATAATATGTTTCATTTAATTTGTATAAATCCATTATAAAGAGTTTTTATCAAGAACATTTGTTCGGAACACACTGTAACTGCAATCGAACGAAGGTAAAATTTTGGCATAAATTGGTAACACTTATTTGACAGTTGCGGTGTTGACACTTTTTGTACTTTATTATTTTGAATTTTAAAGCGAATACCTCTCGTTTTATATTTTTACCTATTTAATAAAATCTGTTCTTTTTAGAACAAAATTAGTGTGTTTTATTTCAAAAATGTCACGTAAGAAGTTAAATAGTCGTTGTAAAGAGATGGTAATACTTTTGCAATAATTATGTGACCTATTTGATTTAAAATGGAGTCAGGATTTTTTTATACTTTGGCAACTATGTCGACTTCGATCTCTGACGTAGATAATGACGTAAGTCGTTATCTAAATTAGATGAAGTATCTAGTCTAATCTAATACATCCTAAAACTGTTAATTTATAAAAGAGAAAAATTGCCATAAGAAATAATGAAATATATTAGACCACGAATACGAAACACTCAATCAGACTATGATACTAATAACGTTAATCTATTTAGGTAATCTATTAGACTGGCATAATCCTCAAATAATGACTGCGTTAAAAAATATAAGTGTAACAGTCTGCTCAAATTGCAAGACAATAACTTTAATCCCATAAAAATTCTTTTAAATTCTTTAAATTCTTTTAAATCATTGAATACAAAATTGGTTTAAAAAGAATATGACATATAAAGAGATGAATTAACACGAACCAAGATATTTACCTACTTCTTTTCGTAGATATCAACATTAAAAGCTTGTAAACATATTAAAAACAAACATATAGTTTGTTTAAATTTTAAAAACTACTTATCCATATTGAAATCAAACTACAAATCAAGAGTGAGCAATGGGAACGCAGGAGAAAGGACACAGGATGTGGTATTTAATTAAGCGGTCTCAGGTTAATTCGTAGTATATGGCTCAATTATAAGACCTTTTGCTGTTTAACCAGATCTAACAATTCTCTTTGGACATTAACTCGTCTTAGGGCCACATCAATTCTTACTTGGTATACCATATTACCATACCCATGGAATTCTGTGTAGCACATTTTGTTTTCTGAGATACCACATTTCGAAAGCCTCTATACGAATCAGATATCTTACTTTCAGTGTCCAAATCTCACTTCCTTATATCCGGATGGGTTATATGTAGCATTTCAAGACCTGGATTGTAAAGGAACTTCACGGCGAAGAAGGCATTTGTTAAACTTAATGAAGGCGCTCCTAGCCATCGCTACTCTTATGTTCACTTTTAGGTCACAGTTCTACTTGCTGTTTAATGTAGTTCCAAGGTAATTAAATCTTTCAACCCTTTCAATAGCTGAATTATTTATATTTAACGGAGCTTGCATATGGAATTGTCTGCTGATTGTCATAGGTATATTTGGTTTTTGCTATGTTGATGTTAAGCTCGTACTCTTCTAACACTCTATGATATTAACTAAATCTTGCAGCTCTTCTAAATTGTCCGCTATTATGGCCGCATCCTTAGCATATCTTAGGTTATTAGTAGGAAGACCATTAACTTTGATGCCTGTCTTACACCTTTCCTAATCTCCATTTCTTCTGCGCGTAGAGCCGTTTTTTGATTCCAATATAGTTGTTAAATAATTCTCATGTCTTTGTCATTAAGTCCAATTTCGTTTAACGTCTGTATCAATACTTCATGTCTGGCACTGTCAATGGTCTGTTGATAATCAATAAAGCAAATGAAAACATTTTTTTTCTGGTCATCGCATTTCTACACCAAAACTTCGTGCAAAAAAGTGTTTCTCTTATCCCCAATCCATTTTTGAAGCCAAATTGAGTGTATCGTTTTCTTTCTTTAAATTTATTATAAATTCACTTATTTATTACCATTAAGAACGCTTTTAATACGTGGCTCATTACGCTAATTAAACGGCGTTCTTCGCAGCGACTGTGTTTCTTTGGCATGATCACGAAGGTTGATTTTAGCCAATCTGTTGGTATTTACCCTTGTTGAATATATTGTTAAACCCTTTGCATAAGTGGACACTTTGGTCCATGGGCTGAAAGAGACTCGTTGTGTTTGCTGGCACTCTTGTTTGCTTTATAGGTCACTGCTAGATTTTTTATGTTTTTAAAGCAACGTGGGTTTTTCGACTTCCCTATTACTAACAATTTTCGCTTCACCGAACCTGTCATGTTAGCGGCTACTAAAACTGTAATGCATTCCTTAGAGAGCTTTCCATCAACGCACTTTTCCGATTTAAATCTTAAAGTTCTGTTTGGTATCATTTTAAAAAACAATCCAGTCTCATCAGTATTGAAAATGTCGTCCGACGCATATCGTGCCTTCAGTCCAGGCCACACGATTTCTAGCCAATCATCCGAATATGGTTCATACGCTGCTGCTGGAACCACTAAAGCATAGCGCGATCTAAATCTTCGTGTTGAGGTTTCCGCAACTTCTTCCTGCTACCGCCCCCATCTCCGCTTCAAGCCACTTTTTTCTGTCCTACCATATCGTAGATACAGTTGACTGAGAAAGCCCCGTACGGCGAACAACATCCGATTGAAATCATGAATGTGTTGCTTGTGTGAGTCCATTTCAAATAGGTAAAGAAATAATAAATAAGACTTACTCACAATCAATTTAATTTAACTATCAGACGACCGGTTTCGCTTTCTACAATATGCAAAGCATCCTCAGGTCTCGATACAGTTTATCGAGATTTACTCGATTTGTTTAACTTTGTATCGAGACCTGAGGATGCTTTGCATATTGTAGAAAGCGAAACCGGTCGTCTGATAGTTAAATTAAATTGATTGTGAGTAAGTCTTATTTATTATTTCTTTACGTAACATCCGATTGCTTTTCATCTTTCTCTATTGCTCGAGTTATCGGTAACTTTTCCTCCAGAGAGAGGAGAGAGCACTTTACCCTTTTTCGAAAACATGTTGACTGTTGACACACTGAGACACAACCCAAAGTGGAAATGAAAAGTCGTCAATAGATGACAACATCTGCGTGATAACAATAAAAGCGAGCCACTTAACCCTCTGATAAGAATGAGTAGAATGGGAGGCTGCATTCCTTAGGTGCAAAACAAAACAACCGCTGGACAATGACCTTGCCTTTCGTGACTTAGCTGGTCTGAACTTAAAACACAATAATACATTTGTTATCGACTATTGAACGCTGAAAAGTCATCGATAGAAAGAGAGAACGATATCGGTGTAGAGAAAGAATTAATACATTGTCCTTATGACAAACCAACCAACGCAACGTTTACTATTTTCTTCGTTATAGATGTATTATCGTTATATAGGGAATCGTTATACAGAGAGACTACTGCAGTTCGTTTTGGCCCAACATATTGCTGTTGTTTTTTGATATTGTTGAAAAGTCTACTTTCCTGAGAAAATTTCTTACTTCTTTAATATTTTATGGAAGTTGAAGGAGTCATTTTTTTAAAGTAGCAGTTCTGATTCGTCGCAGTTTTTAACTATCAATGCGTTTTTGTCTCTTATAATTCTTTTATTAACTCTATTAATTATTTTGTACATTACTTTATTTCTTTGTACATTTCTTCTTCCTTTCATTATGTAGAATTCTCTCTATGCTCCAACTTTTATTTTCTTGTCGCCTTTTTTTGCTCTAGATCATTTTGTGAAGCCTTATGTGTACTGGTTTTGAAGTTTTCCTATTGTTGTCCTATATCGTCTTCCTCATACTTAAATTAGTGTTCCTAGATCTCTCGTTTCATTTTTGTATAAAACGTTAATATTGTATCACACATGTTTAGACAATTTAGAAATCATTTTACCTCTGAACATGAATTCACCAATTAGAGGGTTATGGTTGGAGTTAACGACTGCTCCAGAGTAAGCGTTTACTCTTTTAAAGGTGTTCTGTAATTGTTCGTTTACTGGGATGAAATCAATTTGGTTCTTAACTACATGTTGTTTATTGTTTTGCTGGGATTTTCATGTATATAATCTTCAGGGTGACAGATCATAGTAAAGTATTTTGGCAGTTGTCTTTGGCATTAAAGTTGCTGAGGTAAAGGAGGTTCAGCA